GTGTCAGCTGATTGTGCGCGCTGTGGAGGCGCCGTATTCTGGCTGCGCAGGCTGCGTACATTCTTGTTCCAGCCAGTCGCATGTCAACAGGTCGTGGGATTCTGCTTAGCTATCTGGGTCTATGCCGGTGTAATATAGGCTGTTGGGTTTTGACCGATTTCCACTCACAACTGTGTGACTGGCCATGGGCCATGACCATCTATGTTAACCCACCTTGTCCCCCCCTTCCTCATCTTCTTTGGCCTCTTCTGGCCATCTGTCTGTCTTCAAGTGGCGCTGTACAATGTCACGCACTCTGAGAGGCCCACATGAACTTGAGAGGAATCCAAGGTCCGCGAGGTCCGCGCCCCTCTGCAACATGAAAAACCTCAAAGTGCGTCCAGTGGAAGGTGGACACAAAATCAAAAGCGAATTAAAAGCACTTTCGGTGCACAATGGTGGGCCCTTGCTCGTCATACTCACTCTTCGAGATCCACATCTGCTGGAAGGTAGACAAGGACGACAAAATGGATCCGCCAATCCAAACGCTGTACTTCCTCTCGGGTGGTGCGATTACCTTAATCCTCACGGTGGAAGGGGCCAGAGCACTGAGCTCTTTGGTCATCCGTTCACCGATTCCAGGCATCATCGTCGAGCCACCGGAAAGCACCACGTTGGAATAGAGCTCCTTGCGAATGTCGACATCACACTTCATGATGGACTGGAAGGTGGTATCATGAATGCCCATCGCTTCCTTTCCCACCAAACTCGGTTGGAACAGAACCTCGGGGCAACGGAAGCGCTCCGAGTGGAGGGAGATGATGTTGCCATCCGGCAGTTCGTAGGTCTTGGCACCTTCGTGGCTTGCTGCTGCAGCCTTCATCTCAGTGTCAAAGTCCAGGGCAACGTAGCAAAGTTTCTCCTAACGCAACTGCTGAGGGAACAAAAATATGCAAACGAAAAAGGGATGTTGGGGTATCGGAGAATCCAAACAAGTAGACAGAAGGTAACCTTTCCTTCATCTGGCAGTTAGTGTGAGCAGCCTCTTCGTCATCTTAATTCATGATTGGCTCTTCACAATAGATGCAACGTCGGATCTGGGTCCGGCGTAAAGTGTCAAGAGATGCTCAACCATGGATGGGATTGCAAAAACAAAGCTGGAGGAGGTGCAACAAACACAATGTAATCTAGTCATCTAGTCTGTGCGCATCTTCACCAATCCCATTTGGGAAAATGTTGCCGATTTGCCACACGCAGGGGCCATGACACGCAAACAGCCTGAGTCATTAAATACCTCCACAATACGGCACTCCAAACGGCCACGGCCACAGTGCTGCCACTGTCCAAACCGACGGACTAACACCAAAACCGACCGACTAACACCAAACGAGTCCTTGATGTCACGCGCAATTTCACGTTCCGCAGTGGTGGTGAAGGCATAGCCACTCTCCTCAAGGGTAACGATCCACAACCGAGGATCACGAAACGATGCAGCAGCTCGAGTTACATACTTGAGAAGGGAGGGTACGAAAGCCAGTGCCTGCAAGGCTGGCGCGCAGGTGTTCTTTTCTGCACGCGGGCAGGTACCCTTTTTGTTGGGCTATGAAGTCCTCACAAAAATCAAAAAATGCTCTAGATCTCTCTGGCTCTCTGGTTTTATCCAGCCGCCCGCCATTTATTCTACTTGCCACCACAACTTGCCACCACAACCTACACACATCTTCTCTGAATCTCTCCATATCTCTAACGCTCTATCTACCCCACGTCTCTTTCTGTCGGCAACCTCTCTCCAGCTCTACACACATCCATCTATCCACATCTACTTCATCTCTCTCTCTCTCTCTCTCTTTCTCTCTCACTTCCTCCCCTTCCATCCATCCATCTACCCACCCATCCATCCAGCTAGCGGTCCATCGACCTACCTGCAAGCGGCAAAGAGTGCCCGAAAAAGCTCAGGCCTAAGAGGCACCCTTTTTAAAGCTATTGGTCCTTCTGAACGGAGAATTTAGGCTCTTAAACTCTGTGACCCCAAGTCACTGT